GTAATTCATGTTATGTCACGCAAAATACGCACTAGCCGTGGAGTTGCGGAAACCGTAGCCCCTACTACTACTACTACTAACACTTTTAGGTATTACTACTATCTTATTAATACAATTTGTAAAACGGTCCTTTTCAATCCCCAAATGTGTAATTATATCTTGTGGATAGATCAATATTTACAATCTTATTGGAACCTAGAATTTCTTTTTAAGAGATAAGAGATTAAGTAAAATTTATTACCAAGTTCATTTTTGTATAAATAAATTGTCTTACTTGTTATGAAAGCATCACCATCCGCTTGATTCCATAGCGCCCATATAACATGGTTACCGTCACCATAACCAACAGTGTAGTCTAGTAGATCTAACTGAAATGATTAATCAAAACAAAATTTAGATCAAAATTACCAATTTGATATGTTTTTTTGTAACTGACAAACCTGTGGTCCAAATATCTGACATATCTGTGAGAATACAACGGCGCCCGCTCCACCATCGTGCATCTTCATCACAACAAATTCACTGTCATTAGGAAATGACAGGTACACCACCAACATTATACTTCTGTCGCTGCCTATGATGCTTTTCAACATGTGACCTTGAGCTGAAAAACGGATTTTAAAAGTTACCAAATATAATACAAACATATTTCAAACTCATAATATTAAAAAGATGTTTGGAAAATGCTGTTGAAAACTTGCAATCAACATAATAACACACACTATATGTACAAATACTAATCAATTGAGCAAAAAATATATATATATTAACTACCACATGCAGATTATTCCTCATCCAAGTAATACAAATCACTTTCTCCATTTATCAATTTCAAGACAAAGCTTCTGCACATGAGAAATAAATTATACCATATAAATATATAAGTTAAATCAATGAAAAGTGAACATACGCGGTGGTTTCGGTCTGACCATAGACTGTGAGAGAGGCGAAGAGACTGAGACAGGCGCGCCGCCTTCGTCCAGCGTCCAAGCGCGTAGACATGTGTCGCCACAGATAGCTACTATCAAACTATTGGTAACCACCACACCATATGTCTCAACACCATCTGTATTACTTTTACCCCTAAAAATTCAGTGTTACAAGGTATTAAAGTGAGTATGAAGAGATTTTTTTTTACAGAAAAGGAAAATATATTTTTAATAACATCAATTAATAAAATAGACATAAAAATGTAAATGAACGAAATAATTATAAAACCCTACCTTAATGCTCCTGTAATACCAGACAAGAATCTGGGCACAGCTGATTCTCTTTTCAATAGTGTTGTAACAGCGGAGCCTGTGACGGGCAGCTTTACCAGCAGCAGGCCTCCCTCATTGCCATGACCAAATGATAGAGCAAACACTGCTTCTCCACTGTCACGAAGCATTGATGCACATGTGTGTGCTACGCCAGTAGCTAAAACAATTTTAAAAAACTAAACCAGTTAAGACTGCATCTGTATGTATTTGATTTTTCTTCTCTTTACGTCTATAAAAATTATACTGGTAGTGAACCAGATTTGGAAATTACTCTAGAGTTATCAGTATTTTTAACTAGACAAAGAAAAAGGAAGAGTCAAGTGCTGGCAATACAGATTTAAGAATTTAACTTACTTGTGTTTGAATATTGATTTAAAATGTAGTAATTGTTTGGATTGTTGACAGCACTGGTGTCATAGAATATAGATGCTGATGTATTATTACTTGATCCAAATGCTGACTGAAAACATATTTAACTTTTTAGTTCATTTATTATCCATAAAATATCAAATATAATTAAATATACATAGTATAGAAATATATAGTAAAATAAAGAGAAAACAGATTGAAAAGTATTTGAATTTTCATATTTCTCATTTCTACATTCTTCATAAAAGTAAAAAGTTCACAACTAGTTTTTTCTAGCTTTCAAACCCATTTTATAAAAGTAGTATAGTTCATTACATTATATTGCATGTTAAATATATTCCAGAAGTATGCATAAGAATTAATATTTAAAATAACCAAATAATACCTTCCTGTCTAATGACTCTGGATGAGGAAATATTAGTCTGTGCACAGATGAAACTGTAGCCGCCAAAATAATAACTTCCTGTGTTGATAATCTCTCATAAAAAGTTAAAGTGTTCAATGGTGGTGTTCCTGGAGCTACTTTACAACGCAAATTAGATACAGACAGATTAACATCAAGAGATGCCTCTGACAATTCAATAGCATCTGAAGTTGTTTGCCTGAAAAAGAATAAACCTCTGTATTAGACTAAGAGTTAAGTCTAAATTTTAACTTTTAAATTTAAAAATAAAAAAGTAAAATTTAGAAATAGAGTATATTAAGAAGGTAAAGCTACGAGTATGCTGTGTGTCAACCGCCACAACCAAGCCAATGTCAAAATTTTTAAATGGTTGATGATTGGAAGCAATAAATGTGATTGTCATTAACTTTTGTAGTTGTTAACTTCGTCTACTACAATTAAATATGTTACGTACCAGTAAATAAAACGGTTCCTAGTATTTGCTTTTTTTGAATCCTTATACCAATAGCCACCTGCTTTCTGAGGTAGCTTTATATCTTGCAATGTGCTGTGGGTACCACCTGGAAAGTGATGTCCTCATATTATTTCTTGATTTAAATTAGTGTTAAACAGCTTATAACCAATATTACCTGTATTTAATACAATTTCTTTCCATTTTTCTGGTATATTGTGATTTGGACCAATTTCTTTGAAAGCTACTGACATTGACTCCATAACCTCCATGGCTTAAAGTTAATCCTTGACTAGCCAAACTTTAATGATTGATTTTTAAAATTATTTCAGATAACATTTATTTTCCTCCTTTTGAATTAACTTTTGAAAAATGTTGAGACGGTAATATTTATAACAGAAAAGCGCCAAAGCCCGGTTAAATGACAATTCAAATCAAATGAATGAAAAATGACAATGACAAGCCAAGCCAAAGAGTATGAGCAAAGAACAAATAAGTAAAGCTAAAAAGTACCTACTATAGAAAGTTGAGTAGGATTAGGCCACCGATCTGCAAAAAGTCCCTTTATTTCCATATTTGCTTGGAAATGGCGCTTTTCCTCCGTTGATATAAATGAAAGTTAACTCTATTTTCGTTGTTCGTTCCGTTCATCGCCACTGTAAGCCCGACTGCTAGCGCCAAGATAACGAATATCAAATTAGCACAAATTACCTTCTCATAGCCTATGGATCTAGCACTAAATAAAATGAAAGGTCACTTTTTAAACTATATTTTTTTGTAATCTGTGAACTTATTGTCAACAATTTTCAATGACAATCCCAAGTTGTCATTTCTAAGTCAAGTAACATAACCGGCAAATTTGTAATATTTTTGTCGAAATTTTACAAGTTTATACCATTAGTATCAAATAGGCCATAATAATGGTTTTAGCCCACGATTTTAACGAAGGGCATCGTACACAAGATGTTCGTATCAGTCAAGATATTACTTTCGATGCTATGTTGCTTACTATTGGCACGTTACAAGGATTGAATGATTCTGGATTTCATAGGCCTTCACCAATTCAGCTTCATGGTATACCTCTAGGAAAATGTGGATTTGGTAAAGTTTGTTGTTATATTATTAGAGAAATAAATTTTAGTAAGAAGACCAATGATAGTCGCTACACATCTTTTATTTGTAAATTACAATTAAAACGGTTTTATATTATTTTATAGATTTACTATTAGAGGCCAAATCAGGAACGGGCAAGACAGCGGTGTTTACTGTGATTGCATTAGAAAAGATAGATCTGAATAAAGGTTTACAAGTTGTGATACTAGCACCAACAAGAGAGATAGCAATGCAGATACATGATGTTATAAAACAAATAGGTGTACGATATGAAGGTAATATACAGAATGTTAAATTTCTTGTTTTGATATTTTAGTCAGGTGTTACTAAGAATTTTGAAATATTGCTATTACAAATTATGCTAGTTTCTTAATTCATAGAAATCTAGCAAGTTGTAAAATGTTGATGGCACAAATATATATTACGGCTTTATTCCCAGTAACCTAAGAAATAAGTAGAAGTTTTTAGCTTTCTCTTGTATTGTATTGCAAATATTGAATTAAAAATATCATTTACAGAAATTATTTGTTTTTAGGTCTCTGCGTTGAAGTTGTAATGGGTGGTCTTCCTGTTTCGGATGATGTCGAAAAATTTAAAAAGAATGTCCATATTGTAGTTGGTAGTCCGGGAAGATTAAAACATTTGATACAAGATAAATACATTGTTACAACCTCAGTAAGATTATTAATTCTGGATGAAGCAGATAAACTAATGGAAAAAAGTTTTGAGGCTGATATAAATTATATCCACTCAGTGTTACCACAACAGAAACAGGTTATAATGAGCAGTGCAACATTTCCTGAGAGTTCCAAAAGTTTTATTGAAAATTATGTTCAAAATGCACAACATATTTGTCCAGAGAGCACTAATATTCTCTTAGGAATCGAGCAAAGGGTAACTTTGGTTAAGTATAGTAGTAATATTGTTAAACAAACACAATACAAATTTGCGGAATTAATAAAAATATTGTCAAACAGGCACTTCAAGCAATGTCTAATATTTTGCAACTATCAGGCTAGAGTTGGAGAATTACATAGAATGTTGAATAAAGAAAAGTGGCCAGCTGGTCAGTTGTATGGACAACAACAACAAACAGAAAGACTGGATGCTTTAAAAATACTACAAGAATATAAATGTAGGTTATTGATTGCAACTGACCTTGCAGCTCGAGGCATTGATGCTTCAAATGTTGATTTAGTTATTAACTTTGAAACTCCATGCAATTGGGAAACCTATTTGCACAGAATCGGAAGAGCTGGGAGATTTGGTTCCTATGGTCTTGCTATCACCATATTAAGTGAGGGATTAGAACATAATAATTTCAAATCTTTAATAGAATCTCTTAACCTGCCTTTCCTTGTAAAAGATTTTTGGTCAAATAGCCCATTTTGCATTAATAATAATACTATTCTTGAAGAAAATGATACACCAAATAAAGATAAACTGGATTCTGATAATATCTCAAAACCTAGTGAAGAAGTAGATTACACTAAATTATGGGATGCATTAACTGGCGATGAAAAAAGAACAGAGGTGGAAAGTTTTGATAATCTATGTGAATCATTTACAGAACCAGTTAATAAAATTGATTTATTCAATGTTTTACTACAATCATTTAAACAAAGTGAAGAAAATGCAATAAGTGAAAATGTTAATTTTTCACAACTGGATCTTTTAAATTTGCCTGATAAAAGTCATAACATACAAGAATTACATAAAGAGAAAAGTAAAAGTTTAGTTAACAAAACTGAGATGGAGGCATTTCTAAAGCATAATGGGAAATCTCAAACAGGAACAGACTGTGGCAAAGTAATTTTAAACAATAAACATCATTATAACATACATTCTACTTTAAAAGATAATCTAAATAGCAGAAATAGTTTAACAAAAAGTTCTAAAATAAATACACCAGTGACCAATCATAACGGTTCAAATGGCACAAACAGTTGTGATCCAGATAATGGTAGTAATTATGAATTAGAGGCTGAAATTATGTCTCAAGCATTATGCGATTTAAAATTACCAACTCCATTCTCAAGCTCTAAAGAAAGAAACCCTCAAAATAATAATTTAACACATACTTTCAATGTAAATGAAGTCAACACTCAAGTGCGTAAAAGAGATCGACATCACAATAAATCCAAATTGTGTACCATAGTTAAAACTAACAAGGAATTCAATCCAGAAAATAGAAATAAACATACAGTCACTGAAGTTTCAAATGACAGTGATGAAGAAAATTATTGCACTAAATTAGATTTAACAAAATCCAGACCAAGATATTGTAATCATACAAGTAGAATTTTAAATGAGGAAATGCAATTACCATCCACATCTAAATATAAAAACAAATCAAACAAAACAAAAACTCACCAGTCTCAAAATATATATGAGTATCAAAATACAAAGAAAGATAAAAAATACATGGAATGGTACAATTCATTAAAAGTAAATGTAAGACAAATAGAGCAAATGATTTATTTGAATGAATTAAGCAAGTTATGATACATGTTAAGTGACATGTAATGTGATAAATAATTTAATATGTTGCGTATCTCAGAAAATTAAAGAAAACAATTAAAATATTTATCTAATCAAATAAATTGTTTTTATTTTAAATATTTTTCCAATTGGGTGAAATAAAACAGCTTGTAAAACAGTACATCTAATTGCATTATAACATCTCACTTATTGTACACAATAGGTGTCGAAACATGATTGAAATAAGTACACATACTTAACATATACACACATACTAAAATGCAAATTTTTCACAATAAAATAACACTTGAACAAGACATACAAATACCAAAACACAATTTCTGTATGTAACATTTGTACAATATTTTTCTATGGTCATTATTAATTTAAAAATGTAAAAGAAAAATATAAAGAGGTTTATTACTGAGTTTTTAAATAAAATTCTGTACGATAAAAGGCGTTCAATAACTCTTAGTAAAGATAAATCATTAAAAATATAACACATTACAAAATCACCTACAAACTATATGAAGAACATGACAGACTCATTCAATGTAATATTGCTTGTTTTCATTACATTTATTACAACCATTTCACTAAAGTCTGAATAAGTCACATTTTTTTCAACAATAAATCTACTCTATAGTTTAATATATACATGAAAGGTGGGTTTTAAGATAAGTTACATCAAACATTATTTGAAAAACACTAGTAAAGAACTACTCTACAGAGTGGAACAATTATATTTATGCAGTTAAGTTCAAACAATTAGGGTAAAACTACTAGAATATTTGCATATTTTTCATCAGGCTTTGTCCATTTGTGTTAAATAAGCAATGAGATTCATAAAATATCGAGATATAAAAGATTATTTTTAAGCTTCAAAGAACCTCAAGCAACACATCAATTGTTTACAACAAATAAAATAAATTAACTTATATTTATTTAAATTAAAACAGTCTTTATAAAAATGGGTCAAACTCTATATCCTTACAACCGCTCAGTGAAGTTTTTAGAATACAGTTGTAAAGGACTATACTGGGATTGCTATAAACCCTTACTTTGTTGGTAAATTATTTTATATCAAACAGTTAAAACCAGTTGGGAATAGATTATGCATAGACACTGTTAATACTCAAAAAATAATTTTTAGACAAATATATATGAGGATAATTGCGACCAAATCTTTAATTAAACAGAAAACTATATTTCATTTTTTTCATGTCAAAATACTTCTTTCCTTATATACTAATGTAATTCATAATATTGCCGCCAGACTCCTTCTTATATCATTAATGCAACCATTACAGCTTTTTGTTTATATATTGACTAGATTAACTTGTATTGCAGTTCTTATCTTAAAGTTAAGTTTGAAGCATAACAATAGCATCACTCGTGTTTTTTACTTAGGATAAACGAGGAAGAAAGAACATTTGTAAACATCTTTAGATATGTACAATGTCATATTAGTAATTTCATTAATAATTTTTAGCAATTTGAAAAGTATTTGCCTTTTTAGAAATAGAAGTATTTATATTTAGCTAACGATTGCTGAAATATTCATACTAAAGCATATTTTGTTTTCTTTTTTTTCTTAGGGGGAGAGATGTACAGTTGAAATCATGTGTTTTTTTTTTCATCTTGTGCATATCTAATGATGTTTATAATTAAGTAATACTAAGCAAGGTTATAATAAATTCGCACCTACTATATCAGCATCGATACATGAGTCAAGGACGCACATACACTCACACACACAAATTTCGGACGGTATAGCATTACAAATATATTGCCAGTATAATAAACTTATAAAAAGTATTTAATGTTTTCAATATATTCATTATTTATACGATAATTCTGATTGCATTTACACAAAATTTCACTAATTAAAATAATTAAAAAGTAATAGTTATATTAACTTAATTAAAATATATTATTTTTTATTAATTGGTCTGTTCGTTAAACATTTACACAGGGGAATGTAACAATAATATAATAGATAACTAAATACTAAGGAAATTTTGTATCTTGTACTAACTACTTCAGATTTTATTACAAAGAATAATAAAATCTGATAAATTTATGAATTTTGCAAATTTAGAAAACAAAACCTTTTCTTCCTGAAAAAAGCTTAACCTCGACAAAACATAATAGTATTTCCTATTCACAACATATTCTTGGATAACAAATATTGTTATTCAAGAATACATGAAATAGACTTTTTAAATTTAGTCTTTAGTACCTAATAAATTATACGATTGCATTGGAATATTAAATATAATAATTAAAGGCTTATTAAGCACATTCTTATGCAAGTTTTATGCTAATAAACAAAAATAAGATTATTAGTATCGGCCAAATGCTTTAAAAATTCATTTATGTTCTGTATCATTAGTTTATTATACAAATAACTAATTTAGAAATTCATGTAGAACATTTGAGTGTAAAATCATATGTCAGCTTAAAATGTGTTTAAATATTTCCTACTCACTATTGAAATTCAGCAGCAGTGGTATAAAATAAAGTTTTTTTTTAAATTGTGTTCCTTATATAAATTTGTACATATTATTGCTATATATGAATAACTCTTAGTATTAATATAAATAGGTATTAATATATAGGTAGGTAAACGTTTTTAAAAGTAAAGTATAACAAACGAAAAAAAATTACTCATTACATTTTTAAATAAAAAACATTTGTTAACAAAGCTCTATAGGAAAACGATCGAATTTATGGGAAATTCAAAGAGTAAAGTGATTGACAAGACAGACAGGACACAATGTTTATAAAAATATATCTATTAGATTGTTGCCCTAAATGTTATTAGGGAACAATATGAACATTTGAGCATTTAATTAAGAGCGAAATGGTTTCATGGCTTGTTTAGTTTTTGAATTTACTTTAATGAATATTTAGTTCCTCATTTCTTTATAGCTTTTTATAGTGAACTCCTCAATTAGGAAATAGAAACACTACTACAAAAGTGGGTGGAACATGTGCCAGCATGTTTACAGTAGGGATTTACATTTACATAAATATCCATCAATATAAGAAACTACATACATGTAGATACAACAAACATCTATGTGTCGACTTGTCTTAATTAAAGGGGGATCACAACAAATAACACCCAATATTATAAAAACACTTATAGAGCAAAATTGTTAAGATCGAAAATTAGGAATTTAAATATACCTATACGCTAACCTAATACTAAAGCCGGCTTTGTATTAATGTAAGGCATTCTCTTTTTCAATGTTATATGAAATTGACAGATGAACTTATATATTAGTTTCTATTGCATTTGAACATTTATGTAATTATGGCACAGTGTACCTTACTCTATGATGAGGCATCGGGGCAGGTGTTCGTGCAGGTAGTCGAACAGCTCCGGCGACGCGCCCGGACAATTCGTCAGCTCCAACTCTCGCAACTGTCTCAATTGTATCAGACTGGACAGACCTCCTGATGTCAACAGTGGACAACCTGCAAAAATACATTTTGTACTACATTCACAATTACAAAGTTTCTACTATACGCCTTCGGTTTTAAAATATGTTTGCACGTATCTATCGGTATGCTTCCGTTTATGAAAAGTCCTAATGATGAATTACATGCATCATAGACTTATAAAAGTTTCTAAACATTTGTTAGTTTGTACATATTTATACATTTGACTGTACCGACGAGTATAAGGGATACTACTTATGAGTACATTATAAGTATTATCTAGATCATTTTTAAGTAACTTTCGCCAGCGACTCACAGCAATCACTGCATATTTTTGAATGATTATTTTTTTGTGAAAAAGCCCTACACTTACAACACGCTTTAGGCTATATATTTTCACGCTATTAAACTTAATAGGTAAATAAATCGAAAAAAACCGTCCTGTGGAAAAGGGACCAATAACAACAAGCTGCCAACATTAAGGAAGTAAGGTTGTCATTAATGCATTTGAATTTTGACATTTGACAAATGTAATAACAAAAAGTTTTTAAAGTTCTATGTGTTCACACACATGTAATGTGTGAATATGAAATATACCACGGATAGTATAAGAGAAAGTGTACCGGCGAGTGAGAGCAGGTGCAGCGCGCGCATGCCGCAGAGGTGCTGCACGCCGAAGTCTCGCAGCTGCGAGCACCAGCGCAGGAACAGCGCAGCCAGCGACTGCATCGTGCTGATGTACCCCACGCCGATGTCCGTTATGTGCACGCATCT